GGATTTGCTCAATCGGTAGGTGCTCGGAGTGACTCAGTCGGTAGGTGTTTGCAGTGGCTCGACGGGTAGGTGCTTGGAGTGGCTCGGTCGGTAGGTGCTTGGAGTGGCTCAGTCGGTAGGTGTTTGGAGTGGCTCGACGGGTAGGTGCTTGTCGTGGCTCGATTGGTAGGTGCTTGAAGTGGCTCAGCGGGAAGGTGTTTGGAGTGGCTCGGTCGGTAGGTGCTTGGAGTGGCTCAGTGGGTAGAGGTTATTGGAGTGGCTTGGTCGGTAGGTGCCTAAAGTGGATCGATCAGTAGGTGCTTGGACTGGCTCGGTCGGTAGGTGCTTGGAGTGGCTTTGGTAGGTAGGTGTTTGGAATGGCTCGGTGTGTAGGTGCTTCCAGTGGCTCCGGGTTTGGGTGCTTGGAGTAGCTTGGTCAGTAGGTGCTTGGAGTGGCTCGGTCGATAGGTGCTTGGAGTGGCTCGGTAGGTAGGTGCTTATGTCACTCGGTCGGTAGGTGCTTGGAGTTGGTGGGTCAGTAGGTTCTTGGAGTAGCGGGGTGGGTAGGTGATTGGAGTGGCACGGTGGGTAGGTGCTTGGAGTGGCTCAGTGGGTAGGTGCTTGGAGTGGCTCGGTGGGTAAGTGGTAATAGCCGCTCGGTCGGTAGGTGGCTGGAGCGGCTCGGTCAGTAGGTGCTTGGAGTGGCTCGATCGGTAGGTGCTTCGAGTCGATCAGTCGGTAGGTGCTTCGAGAGCGTCGGTCGGTAGGTGCTTGGAGTTGCTCGGCTGGTAGATGTTTGGAGTGGCTCGGTCGGTAGGTGCTTGGAGTGAATTGGTGGGAAGGTGCTTGGAGTGGCCAAATTGATATAGGTGCTTGGAGTGACTCGGTCGGTAAGAATTTAGAGTGGCTCCCTGGGAGGTGCTTGGAGTGGCTCGGTCGGTACGTGCTTGGAGTGACTCCGTCGGTAGGTGGTTGGAATGGCTCGGTCGGCAGATGTGCTTGGAGTCGCTTGGTCGGTATAGGTTCTTGGATTGGCTCGGTCAGTACAGGTGCTTGAAGTGGCTCGGTGGGTATGTGCTTGGAGTGGCACGGTGGGTACATGCTTGGAGGTACTCCGTGGGTATGCGCTTTGAGTGGCTCTGTGGGTAGGTGCTTGGAGTGGTTCGGTGGGTAGGAACTTGGAGTGGCCCTATCGATATAGGTGCTTGGAGTGGCTCTGTCGGTATAGGTGTTTGAAGTAACTTTGTCGGTATAGGTGCTTAGAGTGGCTCGGTCAGTAGAGACTTGGAATGGCTCGCTGGGTAGGTGCTTGGAATGACTCGGTGGGTAGGTGCTTTGGGAATGGTTCTGTGGGTAGGTGCTTGGAGTGACTCGGTGGGTAGGTGCTTGAAGTGGCCCGGAGGGTAGGTGCTTGGAGTGCCTCGGTGGGTATAGCTGCTTGGACTCGAGCGGTAGGTTCTTGGAGTGGCTCGAGGGATAGGTGCTTGGAGTAGCTCGGTTGGTAGGTGTTTGGAGTGGCTCAGTCGGTATAGGTGCTTGGGGTGGCTCGGTCGGTATAGGTGGTTGGAGTGACTCGCGCGGTATAGGTGCTTGGAGTGCCTCGATCAATATAGGTGCTTGGAGTAGCTCGGTCGGTACGTGCTTGGAGTGGCCCGGTCAGTAGGTGTTTGGAGTGGATCGACACGTAGGTGCTTGGAGTGGCTCGGTCGGTAGGTGCTTCGAATGGCTCAGTGGGAAGGTGTTTGGAGTAGCTTGGTCGGTAGGTGCCTGTAGTGGCTCGATGGGTGGAGGTCCTTGGAGTGGCTTGGTCTGAAGATGCGTGGAGTGGCTCGATTGGTAGGTGCCTGGAGTGGCTCGGTCAGTAAGTGTTTGGAGTGGCTTAGTGGGCAATTGCTTGGAGTGGCTCGCTGTGTAGTTGCTTGGAGTGGTTCTGGGGGTAGGTGGTTGGACTGGCCCGATCGGTGGGTGCTTGGAATGGCTCAGTCGGTAGGTGCTTGGAGTGGATCAGATGGTAGGTGCTTGAATCGTTCGGTCGGTAGGTGCTAAGCCTTGGAGTCGCTGGGTCCGTAGGTGCGTGGAGTGGCGGGGTGGGTAGGTGCTTGGAGTGGCTCAGTGGGTAGGTGCTTGGAGTGGCTCAGTGGGAAGGTGCTTGTAGTGGCTCGGTGGGTAGGTTCTCAGTGTGTGGGAGAATGTTGGTCATAGCCTTTGCTGATACTCGATGAGGGGGGGGGAGCGATGAGAAAAGGAGGCGCAACTACTGGCAAAATGCTCAGTCTTTGTATTAGCCGAACCCCCACCGACGGCCCCACCTCATCTCTGACTACCACTGTTGGGGCGGGGGGCAACATGATTTACCTCGTTTGCGAGGCCCTATGCTTGCAGGGGTCCCCTCTATACAGTCTTAGGAGTAGGTTTCATGCATGAGCGGGACCGCGTAAGTGTTGGGTTCTATTCCCGTTGCCGTCACTTTCAGTGGCTTGAGAAGGATTGATGGCCACAGCCAGTCAACATTGGTAACTCGTCGGGGCGAGTTGTACTGCTCTGTAACCCGTTGCAATGCGGGAGTATCGGGCCAAGTGGAAGTGGCTGCTCAGGTCATGCTACGGCCGGTCGGGACACAACCAATACACATCCAATAAAAGGAGCTCTCATGTTGAGTTCTCAGTCAGGATCATCATAGTTGACGTTCATAATTACGATGCTTATCAGGGTTGAGACCCTAAGTTTCACGATATTTCCGGAGGCTTAAACCACCAGTACTTGGCCCAGTGCTTGCCCGTTAACGCGCCGGGCTGCCCGGTGGGTCGTAGAGAGAACGCCCGGTCGCCTGTTTACGACGTGGAAAGTTGAAACGAAAAAAAAAAAAAAAAAACATAATCTTCGGAAGCCCTGCAATTTGGGAAATGCACTTAAAGTGGTCGTGCTCACGCTGGCACCTACGACATTGAATCTAACCACAATACAGGTAAGATAAGATTCTCAATTCGTTTTTTTCTTTCTTATTTGGTTTTTTTTGTTTTCTTTTAGTCCCTGCCAGCAAGGCAAGGCATATCCCATGATCTGCTCAACTGCCCTCATTCAGAACCAACTCACACTGCAGCATCAATGGATATATCCGACCCATTTCAGGTCCAAAGTGCATGTGAATGTTTTTTTTTCTTTAATATATACTGAGGAATATATGTTTTTTTTGTTTTCAACTTGCGGGGGGGCAATGTGGAGCCCCTTCCCCCC